GTACAAAAACCAATGACTAAGGACAAAAATATATTCTTGGGTATTAAGAAATGATCAAGAAATTTTTAAAACATCAACAAAATATTTCAAAATTAATAAGATAATTCAATATCCCCATAAAAGCAATGTCATAATGAAAAATTAGGAAAAATTCAAGATCTTAGTAGTCTCAACATATATGCAAATAAAATCTACATAAAGTAAAACCTTTTCTTTCATACCTCAAATAAAGTTACCCTCTTTTGTTGCAATGTTTCTAGAGGAAATGAGTAGGAACTTCAAACAACCCATTAAGTTTGTATAGGAAAATATAGTTTGGTACAAAATCCAGGCCATAAGAAACTCAGGAGAAAAATTAAATTTAAAGAAGAGAAAGAGGTGGAATTAATCAACTTCAATGCAACACCTATCTTTAGGACTTGCATAATTATGTTAAAGGATCTCTATGTATGAGGTTTAGGTTTGTATAGGTTTTCTCCATTACCATTGTAAGTTCCAAAATAAAGAGTCCAAGTCAAATTAGAGTCTATATTATTTACAAATTTAAAAAGAAACTTTCAATCCATTAATGACATTGAAATTGATAACAGAATATGCCAAAAATTTTGCTACCATAACAAAAATTTCCATGAATATTTAAACCACTATGAAGTGCTCTTGTCTATATACAAATAGATTTTTTTTATAAAAAAAATGAATCACATTCTCTCGTAACCTCAAGTTCGCTAAACAGCGCGATCGATATGCAATGCACAAAACAGTGCGAGACGATTTGAAATGCACAAAACAGTGCGACTGATATGCAATATACATGGGGCAACTTTTGGATCTTCTCGAAAGTCATAACAATGACGGGAGTGAATGTCAAAGCCCAGAGACGACCCATTTTTGACAAGGCCGAAGACTTAGACAATCATGCAATACAAACAAGATATGCGCCTGAAGGCAGGGGTAAAATGCAAGACAATGCACAGAGCCAAACATAACTTATGATCATGCAAAGAAAGCTGTAATGAAGCATACATGCGACAATTTTAAGCTAGCATACACCGAACTACACTACAATGCAGAAAGGATGTAAGAGAATTATGCAATTCTCGATACGTCTCACTCGGAGGATACAATACCTGTGCGGCTCGTCTGGTTGCACCAGCCTCAAATGAACCGTACATACAATATCTTGCCTGGAAAGAAAGCAAATTTAACAGGTACAATATTATTAGCAACTTGCATGATGATGCAAAAATGGATGCAAAATGATATGCAATATATACAAAACAATGTATAAATAATGCAAAAGAAGATGCAATGTAATTGAAACAATGCGAACTATATGCAAAGCAATTGAATCATGATCCAATCATGAGCGGTTCGAAACCACACAAATGTCAAATAGATTGATGGAGGTAACAAGTCCGTCTACCATAGAACAGTCTACTGAACTATAAGTAATGTAGACGGACACAAGAACAAGTATAGGGGGGATTGACACAAGTGGGGAAACGACCCGCTGAAGAAAGGACAATGATCCTAAAGCCGGATGCAAAGATTACACTACAATGTAATATATATGTGGATATGCTAGGAAGACGGCAATGGATATGGCACGCGGGCCAAACCAAATCTTGCCTAGGAAAGGCATGTACGCATACAAGCCATGTTTAACATAGAACGGTTTACTGAACTATGTTTCGACACGAGAAGTATGGGCACATACCAGACCAAGCTCAACATGGAAAGGATATTTTGTGCTCATCTCTATGTTTGATTAAGTGTCTTTCTCTGTTTGAGGTTTCCTCCTCACCCTTTGTGTTTAAACTTTCTTTTAGGCCTATTTTTGCATGATATTTTAGGCTTATTTGTGAGCTGTTTCGGACTTGGTCATAAACTGTGAAATGTCTTTTCTTGAGCCCCTCTTCAACTTTGTTGAAGGGCTCTACTCTGTTTGAGGCTAGCAGCTATCACTTGTCTCTTTATCCTTCTTTTAGGCCTTTTTCTTGCATGATATTTTAGGCCTACTTGTGATTATTTTAGAAGCTTTACATAAACTGTAAAATGCCTTTTTTTGAGCCCCTCTTCAACTTTGTTGAAGGGCTCTTTACTGTTTGGGGCCAGCTGCTGTCCCTTATCTCTATTCCCTCTTTTAAGGCCATTTTTGCATGATAGATTAGCCCTACTTGTGTTTGTTTTTGAGAGTTGTCATAAACTAAAAAATATCTTGTTTTAATCTCATCTTCAAGTTTTTTTAAGGTTCCATTTTTGTTTGAGGTCATATGCTTCCTTGTATGCTTGATTGTCTCCTATTTTGAGCCTTACACCTAAGCCCTTGTTGCATGCTTTGTTTGGCCTTCTAGCCACTAAAATCCAGTGGATTTTCAGTGGTTGAGACACTATTTTGAGCTCCCAAATCAGAGGGGGGTGACCCCCCCTCTCACCTTGACTTGTTTGGTGGTCACTTTGGCCTTCCAAAGAGACCCCATCTCGCATGCTTTGGAGTCACTTCCTAGGGTCAATTTAGTGAGTTTTGGGACTACCATATTTGATTTTCAGAGTTTTTTGTGCCATGCTAAGTGTCCACCTTGTATGTGCTTAAGAATCCCTTGCATAGTCCTCTAAAGGAGCTCATCATTTTTGCATGCCATGGTTGCATATTAGTGGTTATTTGGGCCTATTTACATATGTTTTGTTCACTGATTTTTTCTGGTTTGGTGAGATTCCATGTACATCCTATACTTGCCATGTAAACCATGTTTGCTAGTCAAAATTGCATGCTATTTTAGTCCATCTTGCTAGCATCTTTTGGCCATGCTTTGAACTGAAAATGTCCATGTTTTGGGACTACCTTGGCTCTGTCTTCATGCTTCATGATCAAATAATGCATGCTTTGTATAGCTACAAGTCATTCCATGTGCCTAGTTTCAAGTTTCGGGGTTCATCTCATGCATCGGGTGCCATATTTCCATAATTCGGGACCATTTTGCATCATATTTCAGTGCTGGAATCTACATGCTTGTATGCCATATTCCATGCCTTGCCATGCCTTGATAGAGTTGCATGTTATGCCTAGGATCGGTCCTCGGTTTGCGTGCATGTGTGCACGTATTTTGATAGTCTTATTTTCACCTAATGGCTACTGATGTGAGTGTGGCTGAGGTCCGCTCATGTTAGTGTAAGTCCATTATGCATTGTGTACACCATTTCATTTCATAGCATTGCGTATGCTAGGTTGTATGTTAGAGCATTGTGCATGCCTCGTTACATCATGCATTGTGTATGCCATTTCATAGCATTGTGTATGCTAGGTTGCACGTTAGGGTTGCATTCACGCATATCATGCATATTGCATAGTGTTTGGGATAGGAGTTAGCCCCAGCACGGGAAACGAGGGACGTTTCGTACTCCGAGTGAAGAAACATGTCTCAATTCCCGGTCGCCGACACTCCAGATTATCCATGATGGAGTCTAGGCCTTGTTGTGTCCATATGTGCATTCATTTCATATTGAGTCATGCAATTCGACTTCTCGGCCATCATGCATCGAGATGCGTGAGTGGTGACACGAGGATTGAGGACTACACTCCCCGAAGAGTAGTCATGCATACATATGTGAAAATACTTTGCCATGCCCCTTTGTTGCTCATTGTTGCAGCAAATCAGAAATCAGCAGTCTTCTAGAGCTTGGTACGCATTCCAAGAAAAATTGTAAACAGAGGCAAACCGGGGCATCGCAAAGGATTTTCGCGCAAGGCAAATTCAAGCATACATCATTCATCATCCGGAACAGAGCTGAGGCGGTCCACGGATTTGCGTGCAATTTATTGCTTTCCTAGATTAATGTGTTAATTAATTAGGATTTTGAATTTATTCAGGACTGTATTATTTATTCATTTGGGACTGTATTATTTATTCGGACCCTCTGCGCGAGGGCAATGTTGTAATAAGTGTGCGTGTGTGTGATGTATGTCTTCCAACCCCACGTCTTTCTCCCTTTTATTTACTCGCTTATGATGGTTAGATTAGGGCATGTTTCAATTAGCATACAGTATGATAGCATGTTTGCATTCATTCATCTGTCTTGCATGTACCGGGCTCGGCGCATCATACTAACTGCATTTGTATCTCAATTCCAAGTTGAATACATGTTAGTTGTAGCATTTCACATGCCATCTTTAGAATAACCGAGCCTATCTTAGTTGCATTTTGCATGTGTTGCATTAGGCATTTCTGTATAGTTAGGATCATGCATGGATTTCTAACATAGCTTTTGTTCTGGCTTGGAGTACTCGGTAAGTGTTTATGCTTTAGCATCCTTGCATGTGTGTGAGTGATTGCCATGATAGCATGCTTACCATGAGGCTATATGCTTATGTGATATAACTGCCTGAATGCCTGTGGGTGAAGGTTGGACTATTTGAATTGGAATAAATGCATTGACTATGAGTTTTAAGCCCACTAGATAGTGGTAAAATCATGTTTTTCTAAGCCCACCCGAGGGTGGCAAATCCACGTCTTAGCCTACTTGCAGGTAGCACCATCAAACCACTTTCAAAAATAAACATGAAATGTTTCGTTCCAATTCAGACGATCCAGTCTATACTTGTATGCTGTGAGCATCACATAGTAAATCTAGGCTAATAACCGGAATAAGAACGCATAAAGTTTTCAAAACTAGATATCATGGTTAGTAGAGGCCGATCTTTGATCGGGCGAGCGGGGGTGCTCACGAAGTGACTTTCCCCAATCGTACCCAAGTTCCCGAGCCGAGGCAACTTTGGTGGTGACGGACACGTGGCCTTAGGCAACGAGTCAGGTTTCCTAAATTTCCCAAAAATAAAATATTTAGGTGGCGACTTTGTATCTGGCAAAGCAGTCCATGTTTGGCACTTCTTTCAAAAAATCTGTTTTCTCAAAATAATTTTCCGGATTTGGACTCTTTGATTCAGATTAAGAACCGTGACAATTTGAGAGTCCGAACTTGTAGTGAGCCCAAATGAACAGAACGGGACCTCATCCCTCCCGGGGCGTTCGGGGACGTCTACACACAGGGACGAGGGTGCCCAATGTATGTGTTGAGGCACCTAAACCCGCGGCAATAGCTGAAGCAACTAACCCTATTCCATTTCTTGTCTGCATGACAAAGGAAACTTCACATAAGTACAAAAACCAATGACTCAAGGACAAAAATATATCTTGGGGTATTAAGAAATGATCAAGAAATTTTAAAACATCAACAAAATATTTCCAAAATTAATAAGATAATTCAATATCCCCATAAAAGCAATGTCATAATGAAAAATTAGGAAAAATTCAAGATCTTAGTAGTCTCAACATATATGCAAATAAAATCTACATAAAGTAAAACCTTTTCTTTCATACCTCAAATGAAGTTACCTCTTTTGTTGCAATGTTTCTAGAGGGAAATGAGTAGGAATCTTCAAACAACCCATTAAGTTTGTATAGGAAAATATAGTTTGGTACAAAATCCAGGCCATAAGAAACTCAGGAGAAAAATTAAATTTAAAAAGAGAAAGAGGTGGAATTAATCAACTTCAATGCAACACCTACTTTAGGACTTGCATAATTATGTTAAAGGATCTCTATGTATGAGGTTTAGGTTTGTATAGGTTTTCTCCATTACCATTGTAAGTTCCAAAATAAAGAGTCCAAGTCAAATTAGAGTCTATATTATTTACAAATTTAAAAAGAAACTTTCAATCCATTAATGACATTGAAATTGATAACAAGTATGCCAAAAATTTTGCTACCATAACAAAAATTTCCATGAATATTTAAACCACTATGAAGTGCTCTTGTCTATATACAAATAGATTTTTTTTTATAAAAAAAATGAATCACATTCTTCTCGTTACCTCAATTTATTGAAATTATACCCTAGGTTAATGTTCTAGTGTTAGTGCTCTAGAGTGTAGAGGAAAGAGATAAAATCCACTTGATCTGAGCCTTTTGAATTCTTCTGGTTTGCAATAGATATCATTGTTTGGCCATGAGTCCCTACTACTACAACTAACACCAAGCCATAGTTAAATTTTCAATTATCAATTTAGTGCATACATTCTATGTGGCAACTTCAATTATCGGCAGGAAGAAACAAGCTCTAATATTCATAATCAACAGTTGGACATGAGTAATACTATGCACCCTTGGGTAATTCCTGTTGTATGTGTGGCATCAACATATTATTCAAAAATAATTCCACTTCAACTAAATATATTCATGCATAAACATAATAAAGACGTACAAAAAAAAAACAAAAAAAAAAAAACATATAGGATGAAATGAAGTTATACAATCTGCAGACCTTTAGATCATCCATTTTATGCTCCTTTAAACAGCCAATGTGATACTCCTTTTCACACTAAAAGCAAAAAAGGCAGCACGCAAGAGAGAGAGAGAGAAAGAGAGAGAGAGAGAGAGAGAAATTAATATGTTTGTTAAAATCATAAGTCTTTAAGAACCAAAAAAAGAAGATGGAATCTCAAACATGGCAAAGCAAAGACAAGAATATCAACGAAATACCCGGTCACACAGTATAACTGTCTGAGGGCCAAATATTGATTTGCTAAAACCATGGCCCCTGTATCCATCATCAATATGTAGAAAAATATAAGCTCACAAATGCAGATTACGAAAGAAATAAATAAATAAAAGAAAAAGAGACAAAAGTTAATTGCAGAATTTAGCAAAAAGACACGGCACAACAAAGTTTTTGCATGCATTTGGTCCATAGGAGGCAAGAATTTCTATAACCAAATTGAAAAATGTTTCAGTTTAGTGGAACCACTTTCAAGAGTCTTCTATTGGTGAAGGCTTATGTAAACTATTAGGACACAACTTAAGCTTCTAAAGAGAAATTATGGTGAGAGAAAAAAGACTGTGAACACAACCTACACAGTGCACATCCACCAACATCAGTCTTTGTAGTTTCAACAATGTGGATGCAACGCTTGGTTATCTGTTCTAGAGGATCTATTCCTGTAATTCTTCCTGCTGCCAAGACATTTGCATTGTGTTCCACAAATTTTTCTTTCTGGAACATGTTTTCGCAATATTTGCAGTACCAAGTACCACTGGGGATGCTAGGTAGAGAAACACTCTACAATTGAACAAAACGAGTATTTATACAATGTTGTCAATAAGTGGTTTGAATGCATTAATTAAGAAATGGATAAAGATAAACAAAGCACCGGTCAACCACTCTACACTAGCGCAATTTAGAAAATTGACCAAACAGCAAAAAGGTTTGAGTACTAAATAAAGAAAAAAAACATACAGACAAGACATTAGCACAAGAAAAGACAGAGGCAAGCATCCAGGGTATTGGAGCTACAAAACCAGAAAAGAAATGAAAGGACTTAAAAGGAATTCATTCAAGAAACTTGAATCACCTATGTGAAAAGCCCTTGGGAAATTATCACAACATAAAAGATCTCATCCATTTGCACAGATTGAGCAAAGATCATCGCTTTCCTCAGCGGATAACTTCCGCAGTTGTTACAATTTCATAGACAACTCATGGGGAGACACTCCATTTGATGTATAGATGTGTAGGTAACTGCATTAGGGGAAAAAAGTTATCTAATGATGTATAAGTGGTCACAGAAACCACATGTTCACTAAACCTCCCAAAAACATCAAAGGAACACTCACGGCTTGCGATGAGAAGCCTAACCAGCATGTGCTTCAAACTGAGAAGGGCTGACCTGCTCACAAATGTTGAAACAGTAAACACCTCAATGAGAATCAACAAAGATGTAACTCGAGTGGCAAAAAAAAAAAAAAAAGTATCTCACTTTCGCAGCAAAAAAAAAAATATTCCAAAACCCTTCTTATATCATTCTGCACATTTTTGTAGATGACAAGTTATCAGAATACAAATACATATCACAATAAGGTGCTTTACAGGGAAAGCGTTGCTTCCACAAAAATATAAAATATGTTAATTGTTTAATACATTAGATCTTTATGAAAGCAACATAAACATTTCCTTAAACCAAAATAATAATATGAATGTGCTAATCTCAACAACCTGCCCACGAACAAAATAAGCTAGTTCAGTTCCATCAGCCAGCGCATCATCCTAAAATACCAACTTGTGGAACCGCAGATCTCTTCAGAAAAAGATAAAAACCAAGTATTTAGTCAACTAAATCAGCCAACTTGATTAATCAAACCAGAAATGATGACAAAGATACATCCACCCAGGACACAACTTAACAACTTCAAGAACATATACTAACTTTCGAGTTAACCTAGCAATGAATAAGAACTCAAATTCAAAACATTACGGTGACAACAGTGACAAAGGGCTAACCTTAATTGATTAAGTGCTATGAAAGGAGAAAAAAAAAATTAGTTCTTTCATGAGGGTTAATCCCTTAAGACTTAAAAGATTCATCAAAATAAACACAAACCTTGAACCCAAAAAGTCTTGTATATTTACATCATGGTCTAACTTCTTAAAGGTTTTCTTCAGTGCCTACATTCTCAAATAGAGCACCAAAAGGCTTGAATGAATATGATATGTCTATCATTTCATATTTAATGAAAACAGAGAAAGAAAGAATGAATTGGTGTACTAGAGAACGGGCAGTATTAATCTTACTTCAAGGCTCTCCAACTTCCTGGTCATTCAAATAAAAATTATTTAGCTTTCTTCAAGATTCCATTCCTTCTTCTCGAATA